AATGAGGGGACTTGCTGATAAGCAGCTTCCCGGGCCATGCTGCCTCCAACCTCATGGCCACACCAAGCTCACAGTAAGAACATTGTTGTCTGCCTTCCCCTCCTAAAATAATACCTGCCCCTGTGCTGGCTGGAGTCCGTCACGGGTGGGACTAATCTGAACCCCCAGGTAAATAATGTCCTTGTGTCCCCTCTGAGCTGCTGTCAGGAGAGGGGGAATGAGGGAAAACAGGTAGTGAGGAGTCCTGGAAGAGTGGAAACCTCTGCTGGCTACCCCTGTGCATCCAGGGGACACTGGGCAAGGGTCCCAGCACTGCATCTTCCCTGGAAGCTGTGGGGCTGCTCCAGCTCCCGCACAGTACGGCTGTAGGCTCTGCTGCTGTGCTGAGCTTGTCCCACGGGATGGCACTGCCTGCTCAGGAACAAGCAGCCCGGCCGGTGCTCCTGGCAGGCATAAATGCAGCAAATTAAATGGTGCTGGCAGATTCTGATTGACGGGTCCCTAGAGAGCAAAGTCCCTTGTTTTTTCCATCCCCGAGGGGATCAGGAGCAGCAGGAGGAGCAGCAGCAGAGAAAACCCTTTCCCAAGCCCAGTACTTTGCCCTTGTGGATCTGTTTCTGGGACTCAGCCCACTGCCGTGTATCTTGACCCCTTTGCTGAAGCCGCGGGTATCGGCCAGCCGGCTCCTCCACTGCGGGCGCTCCGCAATGTCAAGAGCTGACCGCTGCAGCGGATGCCGAGGCCGCCGAGGCCCAGCCCTCACTGCGTACATGAGCCATGGCACCCTTGTCGCTCCGAGCCCAGGGTGCAAGGCCCGGAGGTTTCAATAAAGGGCAAGCGAAATGAGGCCAGCAGGGTTTGGCGTCATTCGCACGTTACTCCTCTCCACGGTGTAAAATTGGCACAAGTGACAACACTCTGCTAGAATGGTTCACGTCGGTGCTGGCTCTGCCACAGCCAGGTCAAAGCTGGGATTTGCAGCCAGGAAAATGGAGGCAGTCACCCAATTTTTGCTGCTGCAGTTGTGGGAAGCAGTATGGCCCATTGGGGTGTCCTCGATCCTCTGGCAGGGTGCTCAGGACAGCTCCATGTCTGGCAGGTCCTCAGCACCCCTCTACCGGCCAGTGGTTGATGGCTTTAGGAAGGTGTAGCCACCATGGATGCTGGGACATCACAGATGTCCTCCCTACCCTTGTGGGCACAGATCCCCAGTTAAAGGTCTTTTAATGACCATGTCCAGGTGGCAGGGCCCTGTTCCCTCTCTCAGGCTGGAGGGGAGTTTCTCATCTCCATGGGGCATCTTAGTTGCACAGCTATGCTGGAGCTCTGTGGAGCCAGCAAACTGTGGTACAGGTATGCTCAGCTTGATCAGAAGTTCTGTAAATGTCCTGCCTGGGTGAGGAGCTACACACTGCACAGCAGCCCACGTGTGGTTCAGCTCCGTGCCTCAGCTTAGCGTGAGGGGTGACTTGCTCCCCACTCTTGGGGGTAAAACACAGGGTGGTGGCATTTAGTTCACATCTGCTTAATCTGCATAGGTCCTACTCAAATTTTATCCTCCATCTGCCACTTTTCTGTATGAAAACTGTTGCCTCTTCTATCTGTCTCTCCAGAAGGTTTCCAGAAGAGCCTGGGGAGATAAGGGGAGAAGGCCCCAGCAGCTGGAAGGTACCTGGGAAGGAGATGCCAAGATGTCTGGACCCATCTCTACCTTTGGGAATACTTCCAGGACAATCAGATAGCCTGTCCTTTCTCACCCAGCAGCTTTAGTTAAGTTGACTGTACCTCTTCACAGACCCTCCTCCTCCATCAGCTCTCCTTCTCAAACCTTTCTGTGTCCTTGGCCTCAGTGCTTGGCTTTTGAAAGGCGAGCTGTGTGGCTGTCTCCTTCCCCCGTGGCAGTCCTCACACACAAGCAAGACAGCAGGCTTGCGTGTCTGACGCTTGGCCTCTCTCTGTAGTCATCTGGCACTAAAAATTATCTGCAGAGAAAAATACTGGGCTCCATACCTGGGTCTTAATATCCTCCCTCACCAAACCATAATTACTAATTACCACTCCTGGGTGTTTAAACCATTTGAATGATGCAGTTAAATGCCCGATGTTAATTTAATAGCCAAGTATCTGGGTTTCCCCACATGAGGAGCTCTCAGAGAGACTCCCACTGAAGCAAAACGCAGCCAGCTCTGGCTGTGGTCCATATGAGAGAGGCAGCAGAGGAGCAGCAAGCACATGTTGACAGCAGACCCACACACGTGAGGGCCTGGGCATTACTCAGCAGCAATTGCTCCCTTACTCCGCACCATTCCCCAAAGGGAGCCCCCTCTCCAGCCATGCTGTACCTCCATGGGATGAAGACCTAGCGCCACTGCCAGTGCAGGCTAGCATCCCTTGGGCAGTGCAGGCCCTCTGGAGCTCAGATCCTTTGCCAGAGCCATCCTTGCAAATTGCTCTGAGTAGGGCAGCACTCTCTCTGGCAGATGCCCTGCCTGACTTCTACCCATCCCAGGCCAGCATTTGAGAGTGTGTCCTCAGGTTTGGAGAGGTGCTGTCCAAAATCAGCCCCTTGCAGGGCCAGACACTGCATTCCTCTGGCACCTGAAAGCAGGGAATGACCATTGGCCCCAAAGAGGTCACGAGGCTGGGGCATGGCAGGGACCTGGCTGAAGGCATTGGACCAGACTTTGCCTGCTCCATCCCCACTCTGGCTGTGTTATGAGGGTCCTGCTGTCTCTCCTTCCCCACTGCTGGGGCTTGGGACTGGGGCAGGAACTTTTCCAACCCAAATATTTTAACAGACCTCTCAGTCACAAGTCTTCATCTTCCCTAGGGCCTCGGTGGCTCAGTGCTGTAGAGGAGAAGACCCTGGTGCCCTGCTCACATCTGGCATACTCAGGGCCTGCCAGAGCACACAGTCAGCAGTGGGAGAAGCAAGCACATGGAATGGGGAGCTCTGAGAACTGTGAGGGGCACAGGGAAACATATTATGGTCTCTCACCTATGTAAGTGGTAATGTGCCTGGGGAGAGATGGGGAATGAGAGCTTCTGCCCACGCACAAGTCGTTTGCTTTTGATGCTGCCCCTCTAAGACATCACTTAATATGACATTAATTAGTTAATGTTTGCAAAGTGCTTTGAACATGAAAAGTGCTGTATAAGTGCTGAATATTAGTACTAATTATTATGGCATGGAGGCTGGCAAAGTCTGAAGAGCATTCCCCACATCTAATTTCAGGCCAGAGCTGCTTCGCTGCCTCATCCCGTAAAAGCCAGACAGAGAAGAGAAGAAGCCTCTGCACCCTATGAGGAAGTGCACCCCTCATGGAGTTGTGCAGAGGGGGTGATCTGTGCACCCCCTTCACTCCAGGCGGGATATCGTGTGGGAAGTGTAGCCACATCACCCCAGTGCCTCACTGGCACCGGTGAGGATGAGGGAGCACACTCTTGCCCCAAGCTCTGCAGCAGGCCAGGATTGGAAACATCACAGGGTGGATGGAGGAAATGCAAGGAAGTTCTTTCAGCTTATCCCACCCATGCCTGAGCAGAAGCACTCAGCATGGATGGAGGCTTCAGAACCAGGCAAGGAGATGAGGAGGAAGTGAGAAAGTTTTGGGGTCTGTGCACTAGACAGGGTGGGAAGGCAGGTGCCTCCCAGATGTGCATGTGGCAGGGCTGGGAGCTCCCTGATGTCCCCCAGACAGGCTCCTGGCCTGCTTTGCTTCCTCTCCCCTCCCTGTGCCCTCCTTCTTGGTGAGGACGCTGCTGGGAAGGGTCCCTGGAGGAGGAGCAGAAATGGGTCAGTGGGTGCCCCCAATTACCTTGGCAGTGAAGCGTCCTGCCAGCTGGAATGCTGGTGTGAGTGTTAGGTGCTACCAGGGCCCCAAAGAAGAGGGATGAGCTGGAGAAGGTTGTGCTAAAGGGGATGCAGTGAGGGCCAGAGTGGGGACCCACTGGTGCTGGCTAGGGGGTACAGATGCTGAGCACAGGTGTCAGCATGTGTGAGGTGCACTGGGCAGCAGGGAGAACTGCAGTGCTGTGATTGCACTGTGACCCAGCAGTGTCTGCTGGGACTCCTGGCGCCAGCTGTGCCTTCCTTGCTGCTGCCAAATTAACTGCCCTGCTCCGACCTGCTCATTCAGCTCGAGGTCTCACTTGTCTGCTGTGGGTCACACACAGAGGTGCTTTGTCTCTCAGGTGCCTGTCCTTCTGGGCTAGCCATCACGGAGTCTGATGGGGATTCTGGTCTGCTTCAGAAAGCTGTGGAGGGTCTCACGGGAAGTGAGAGCCCAGTGCAGGGTGAAGGGAAGCTCACTGGTGACACCCTTGCTGCCAGTGGGTGAGTGGGGGGTGAGGGGACATGCCTAGTCCCCTTTGTGGGGATCTCACCTCCCTGCTCTGCTGCCACCTTACCTGTTTCTGGGTCTGCATTTCCAGCTGTGAGTTATTCCCCCTCTCCAAGCTCCTATGCTGAACATTTCCACCAGGCACTCACTGGCAACCCAGCTACTGAGGAAATTGCTGTGAGTCGCTCAACAAAACCCCAAATCAATGCTGGAGTCACTTTCTTTTTCCTTTTTGAGCCCTCCAGTGTGTATGAATTGTGACCTTGCTGGCAATTCTTGGCTTCCACTGTTTTCCAGTAGAATTGGAGCATCAGCCTTTGTGGTATTTTCACCCCAGGAAGAATGGAACAGGAGGGGAGATGCTGGAGACTAAAGAGAGGCTGGAGCAGATGTTTTGGAGGGCAGCAGAGAAAGCCCAAGTATGACTTGAGTTTACCCACACTTGCTTAAAATAAAAAGCTGTGGCAAAGCCCTCTCCTCTTGCCTCATCCGTTCCTGTATCTCAAAGACCATATTGAAGAATTACCATCCTCTGAGTTTCCAATGAGGATGAAATTCTCCACAGCAGTACATTCTCTTGCTGGGTTTTGAGGTACTCTTCTGGCACTACAAATCCCCCCCCCCCAATAAATCCACATAAACGAAGACCAAGTTATAAAAAAAAAAATCTTTATTTCATGTACCAGGATTTTTTTTGTCATTTTCTCTTTTTAAAATTTTTTTTCTTTTTAACAGTCTGAAAAAAACCCACGAAATAAAGAAAATGGAGGTTGGTTTCTTGTACTGGTTTGAGCTGGACACGAGCAACACCCTGGGGAAAAAGCTTTCCCTCCAGCCCTTGCCTCTTGCCCACGCTCTCCCGGCTCCCTCCCGCACTCTTCCCCTTCCCTCCTGGCCCCGGGGCACGCTCAGCCCTGTGAATGCTCCCCAGCTCCGAGCAGTGTTGGGTGGGGATGGAAAGCCCAAAGCCACCTTCCTCTACGCTGGAATCTGGGGAACTGACTTTAATTTATTCCTCGGGGGGCATTGGAGGGAGTGGATGTTCCCTGTGTATCGTTCTGAAAGGGCTGGGTGGCCACGGGAGGGGATGTCAGCCCAGCCGAGGCGCTCGCATCCGCCTCTTGGCCCGTATTGCCGTTTCTGGGGCTGAGCCCGTGCCTCTGCTGCCCCCCGCCCTACCCCAGAGCGGGGAAGGGGGGGTGAAGCAGCAGTGGGTCGGGGGAAGCGGGGAGGATCTGCCTGCTTTAAAGCAGAACCCCCGCTGGGACCTGGAGCGGGGACTGCGCAGCTCCTAAAACTGGAGCAGCAGGAATGGGGACGGAAAAAAAGTTGAAAAGTGGGTCTGAGCTGCCGAAAGGCTCAGCGGCTCCATCCTGCATACTCTCGGCTTTGTGCCTGCCCTGGGCGCTTACGCTTTCGGGGGGCAGCCCCAAAGGGGTCCTGTCCTCGCCCCGGGCTGGCCGGTGTCTGTGGGTGTCACAGGCGCCCCATCAGCCCTGCTGCCACCTCCCCTCCCGCCTCCATCGGCAGCGGCTCTCGTGGAGGAGCTGCCTGGAAAGCCGGCACCCGGTGCGCCCTTCCCCGCCTGGCAGGGAGGGAGGGGGCGGCAGCCAGGCCAGGGGGCCCGGGGGGCTGGAGGGACCCGGCTCGCCTTGCCTTGCTGCTGTGGAGGGGAGCTCGGCAGTCGGGGACCCCCAGCAGGAGCAGGGCACAAGCCGGCGGGCGTGGGGACACCCGCTGGGCGTGGGGACACCCGCTGGCTTGGCGGCTCTCCCCGGCGCGGCCCGGGGCTCGGGGCCCGGGGCTCGGGGCGCTCTGAGGCGGGGCCGGCAGGCGGCACGGGCCGAGCCCGGCTTTGGGTCAGGGCGCGCTGAGGGTGCCCAGGCGGGGACGGGAGCGATTTCAGGGGCCGGCTGGGTGGCTTCACCGTGCCCCGGCATGGCTGCAGCCCCACTAGTGTGACCCAAGGGGAATCTGGGCAGATTTGAGGGGTGCATGGCTACCGTGGGGAGCCTCTGGAGCATTCACAGGAGAGCACGGGCCCACCAGGGCAAGCGTGTGTGAGCACGGGCACACGTGTGCGTGAGTGCTGTCCCCCCCACAGCATCCCATGTGTGTCCCCCCCACAGCATCATCACCCTGAAAGGATGGGGGCCCCAGCTGCCCTCTGCCAGCGCCCCCACCCTCTACCTGTGCCTCCCACACAGCTCCCTGCTGCCTCTTTTCTTTTTTTTTCACAGTTTAAAGCTGAAGAAAACAAAAATGAAAAGAAAAAAATACTATCTGTTCTTGCAAGTAAATCCACTTATTATATTTACATTTATTTATAGCTGTTGTTTTATTAAAAAATTGCCACTTTATTTTTTTAAGAAACTTCTTTTGTCCTTTTTTTTTTTTTTTTTTTTGTCTCTGTGTGTGTGTCTTTATTTCCTGTGTCTGTTTTTTGCGCTGTCACCTTTAACCCCAGGGTCCCCAGGGCTGGGGAAGTGGGGATCCCCCTGGGGACACTGTGGAGGGGTGACTCAGCAGCAGCTCCTGCACTCCCTAGGGTCACTTTAAACCCCTGTGGATCTGCGGAGGACAAGGAGATCCCCACGGATCCCAGGGGAATGGAGTGGATCCCCATGGGTCTCAGAGGAACAGAGCGGGTCATGGCTAACTCCGGCACCCAGGATCCTCCATAACTGGCCCAAGGACACCGAAGTCACTGGCAGCCAAACCCCCATCCCCTGTTCCGCAAGAAGCCTGTGCTGGATTACAGGTAAGTGGGAAACAAACCATAAAATAAAATAATAAAACCTCCCAAAATTAAAAAAGCTGCCTCCTCCTCCTCTTCCTCCCACTTGATTTATTGTCATTTTTTATTTCTTGGTTCCCTTTTATTTCTTTTAAATCTGTTTTTATTAAATGTTAAAATAATGGTACATGGGAAATCATGCATTTTCTTTTAAATTTATTTCTATTTTTTAAATCTCTTTCTCTCTGTTTTAAGGATTTTATTTTTTTTCTTTTTTCTTTTGCTTTTTTTTTTTAAGAATTTTTTTCACTGTTGTCTCTTTCCTCATGTTTCCTTTTTGTTTGTGTTTTTTTTTTTGTTCACTCGCTTGTTTATCTGCTTATCTGCTTGTTCCTTTGTTGTTGTTTTTTTTGTCAGTTTTTTGTTTGCTTTTGTTGGTTTTTTTTTGTGGATTTTTTTTTTTTTTTTTTGCATTGGGAAGGTCCCCACTCCACCAAGGGGCGCTTCCACCTGCTCCTTCCCCACCCCCCTGCTGCCCCCTGCCCCCTTCCACCCTCCCCACCCTGCAGCCCACCCCATCTCCTCCTGCCCGTTCCTGCCCCATTTTCAGCTCCTGGCGACGGCTTCATACCGGGGTGGTCCGGCGGTTGGCTGTGTTGGTGTGGATAGAGTCCTTGTTCTCTTTCTGGATACAGTTGTGAACCTGGAGGAAACTGTTATCCCTGTCGGAGTTGTAGGTGGCGGTGGGGGTGGTGGTTGCCTTCAGCGGGTCCCTGGTCAGGGTGTACATCGAGATCTCTGTTGATGGCAGGGTGTTGAACCCTTTGATCCCGACAGGAGAGGCATCCCTGGAGTGTGAAGGCTCAGTGGAGCGGGAGCTGGAGCGACTGCGTCTCTGATAGCGGTACCGGTAGCTGGGGATGCGGGTGATGGCGGAGGACTGGAGGTAGTCCGTGGCACGAGCGTTGGCACGCAGCTGTTTGTGCCGGTCTATGAACATGTGGACAGCCAGCACTCCCACCATCTCGGCTATAATGAAGGACAGGGCTCCAAAATAGAAGGACCAGCCGTAGGAGTAGCTGTTTTTCTTGGAGTCACTCTTGGAGGGGTCTCCAGCGTTGGCTGATATGTATACAATGATGCCAATTATATTACTCAGACCTGCAAGCCGTCCGGCGGGGGAGAGAGAAGGAGATGTCAGGAAGGTCACACATGGCAGTGGTGGGGGCTGTGGGGTTGAATCCCCTCCTGAATGGGCAGCTTTCCTTGGGAAACTCAGGCAAAACCCTCCTCATGTGCCTGTCGCTTCCCTGGACTGCACATCTGGTCCCTGAGAGTTGTCAGATGTTAGAAACTCTCCCTCCGTCGCCTCCCAAGCAGGAGGAAAGCCCCTGCCAGCCTGCCTCTGCTGGGCGAGCAGGCAGAATGGAGAGGCATCCTTATGATGCTGCTTTCAGCCCGAATGAGACTTATTAGGGCTGGAAATGCACACCCTCCTGCTTACACTGCACCCCAGCAGATGTCCTGGCTGGGTGTCCCCCCAATCCCTGGAGTCCACCCCCGGGGCATCAGGCCCTGCGCACCCCTTTACCTGCAGACACGAAGAAGATGCCGGCACTAAGGATGATGTTGTGTCGGGTTTTGTAGAACTCGCTGGCTGCAATGCAGAGTCCACCCATGAAAAGCAGAATCACACTCAGGATCGGGAAAATACTAGAGGCTCTAACAGCCCCTGCAGAAGAGAGAGGGAGGGCAGGGCAGAAAGAACAACACAGGTGTGAGAGAGAGGAAAAAGGGGCATGGAAATGGCACCGGAATGAGGGGATGGGGGCACGCGAGCACGTTTAGTGGGTGCGGGTGAAGAGGAGAGACAGAGGGCGATGTGCAGTAGGGGAGTAATTTAAGGGGAGATAAAGGCATTGGGGGTGGAGGGAGGGAGGGAGAGAGAAACCAAGTGTGTCAGAAAAAGAGAGTGGTCCGAAGCAACTCTCCCATGCCCTGGCCACTGCTGCTGCCACAAAGCTGGTGGTTCAGCACAGGGAGGCAGAGGGGGCTGTGGGGCTGCTGGCTGGGCTGGGAGCCTGCCTGCATTGTCTGTGCCCCCTCAAACTGTTTTTTCCTCTGTGTTTTGGGGACTGTGGGCTGGAGGGGGAGCCCAGGCACCATTCAGCTTCTCCTTCTTCGGGTCTCTGCCGCTCAAGTCTGCACTTCAAAGAACAGCAACCCAAATGCTTCCTGCAGAGCTGCTCAATCTCGAATCCTCCCAAAAGGGCATGAGCATTTCAAGGAGATTTTTTTTTTTTTTACGGCTGAGAAGAAGCTCATGGTGCCACGCACTGCTCTGCAGCTGCAGTGAGGACTGAGAAGAAACAGTCCCAGCCCTGTGTGCCGAAATGCGGGGCTTATCCTAGTGATTAAATGACTGGGCTGCTTCCAGAGGGCAGTGATGGTTTGGATGTGCCAGCTCCCACACACGCACACTCTCCATCGGTCGATATGGGAAGAGCTCAGCCAGCAGAGGGCAATGGCATAGATGCACAGATGCACGTATATACTCGTATGTGCATGCAAAACATACCCCAAAGCTTCTGGGGTGCCTGACTCGTGTTCCCGCAGCGAAAGGCCAAGTCTGTGTGTACGCACACCCACACACAGGCACGCACACACACACTGCTCGTGGGCGGCTCAGTGGGAGCCAGCGCTCTGCCTGAGTCTGCGTTGCAAATATTCCTATTTTTTTTAACTAGGAAGGCCTTCTCTCCTCCCTTCTCAAGAGAAAAGAAGCTGTTAAAGTGTGAAATGAAGCCTTGCTTGATAAAGAAAGGTATCAGACAGGCTGGTGCAATTCTGCTTGTGGAGCAAAGATCTGGAAGGGGGGATGAAAGCTAATCCTTTCTTGCCTGCAAGAATGAACCCAATGAAGCAAATGAAGGACTTCTTCCTAAATGAGCAGAGACCCTGCTTCAAAGATCCTGTTGGCCTCTGGATCTGCTAGGTACAAGCAATCAGCTCTTTGAGGGGGGCCTAGCCCACTGCTTGTGCACGGGGAATGCAGAAGGCAGGGAGAAACCTCTCTTGCTTGCTTTCCAGGTTGCCTGGCTGTGCTTCAAGGAACAGGATAACAGTAATAACCACCTTAATAGCTTCTGGAAATCAAGGTGGCATTTGACAATGGGAAGCTTAAATGGCAGGAAGCAAACGTCAATCAGAAACCAACCCTTGAGAGGCTTTCTAGGGGGATGCTTTGTCTGTCCTGCAACTTGGTCCTGACTACATCAGTTTTATCTGTGTCTTAATTCAGAAATTCACATCTGTTGGGAGAACACAAAGTTGCTGACTGACATGGGAAGCTGCAGGTGTCATGTGATGGAGAAGGACAGCAGCATTCCTCAGCCTTTCAGGAGGACCATGCCAGCAAGAGAGGAGGAGAATATCATCCAGCCTTCCTAACTCCAGAGCCTGTGGCCTAAAGAAAAGGGGCTGGTGGCGTATGCTCACTAAACTCATCTGTGTCTGCTAGCAAGGAAACAGAGGGATGCTTCTGCTTCCTCTTTGATAATAGATTTTTGATTTCAAAAATCCTAAGACACCTTATATGGATGGCTGGCAGAAATAATGGCTAAACCCTTCTAGCCAGGCCATGGACATTGCCTCATCACCGTCCTGGTCCCCTGAGGAATGAGGGACTACTCTGATACTGATAAACAACTTCCTAGCTGTTCCTGATGGTACTGCCAGGCATCGCCCATGCAGAGCACCCAGGGACGCTGGTTTGATAGAAGTTCTGGGAAGAAGCTGCTCAGTGGGGTCCTTCTCCATGCAGGTCTAAGCCAGCAGAAATCCCAGTTCCCCTAGGAATGACCAAAATCATCCTTTATTGACTTGCCAAATCCCTCTTTGAACTTGGTTCCTTCTTAAAAAGGGCTCTACCCTGGGGACACTGTCAGGTCCTGACATTGAGCCAATTTTTGTCCTCAGATCTTATTCTCTCTGTGGGAACAAACCCATCCTTCTTGTGATGTTTGGCCCCTTCCCCAAACCCTTTTTTCTGAAGTGCAATTGATGCTGCAAGCAGCTTCCTTGCTCCCAAGCAGCTCTGCAAAGGCTGATTTGCCCTTGGAGGCAGCCTGCAAACCTTTGGCATCCCTGTGCCAAACCGGATCAAACCTCTATCTTCAGCTCTGCTGTTTAGGGGCCACGCAGCAATTAAGAGACCGGTGCTGCAGAAAGGCAGCTGAAAGAAGCAATCTCCCTCGGTTATTTACAATTTACAGTGGATGAAGGACTGTTTGAGAAACCAAGAGGAATCAGCATAAGATCTGCCTCTTTTCACATACAAATGAGCTTCACAGATCCGAAATTATCTCTCTCATCCCTGCCGCAGGGCTGGGTTTCCACATCTGGCTTGGAGCACACCCGGATGACAAGGAGCTATTCTGAAAGACTCCCGGTCTTTGGAAGCCTCTGATGATTAACCTTGGAAGGTCAAAAGCACTTATCTCAGATTTCTGTTGGGAGAAGATCTCATGATGTCAAAAGACACTGGGCTTGTGGAGGGAGGGCAGGATAACAAGGTGGAGACCTAAAAGGATTGTTCCCTCTTCAGCTGTGCTAAAGGAAGAGTAAGCACCTGCCTCTGGGGTGGGTGGAAATGCTGGCTGGGGAGGGGAGGGCAACCAGGCAGAGCAATGCATGATGTGGACCTGTCCTGCTGGCCAGGGTGCTGCTGCGCAAAGGCAGTGTGAGCTTCACTCACACATCTTGGGCTGCACTTGGAGCTCGGGCTAGGTTTCATTACAGACATGCCATGTGCCTAGGGTTCAGCACCTCTCCTAGGGGCTCTGGGTGAGCACCAAGTCTTTCCTGTGTGGGCTCTGGCTGTCCTTATTCCTGCTGCCTGCTCCCATCACTAAAACCAGCGAAGATCAGATCTGCAGCCTCTGTAGGGAAGCAGTGTTTGGGGGAAGGTGAAGACAGCAATAAGAGCTCCTCAGACAAAATCCAGCTAATTGCTTAAGTCTGGTGCTACTGGAGTATCGGATAAGGAAATATAAACTTTCTCTGCTTTAGGAGGACACGCACACTCATACACACGCTGCCCCAGCTTGGCCAGTCTGACCTTAGACTCAATCAGCAGCTTTCCAGTGGATTTGAATTAAGATTCTGATTCTATATCACAATTAATTGCTGCTAATAAAAAAAATGCCATTGGTTGTTACTGTGAGTTCAAATTTGCACTGTCTCATGGGCAGAGCCCCTGGGAGGTGAAAGTGGAGTAGTTTTTAGGGGGTGACAAGGCTCTGCAGTTTCCACTGAGCCTCACAGGTCCCAGTGTCTCTACTACCCTGTGTTCAGAAAACAAAAGGCACCCGACGCTAGCACCTACAAGCCATTGTAAAAAGAGCCTGCGGACTTACGGAGGAAATATTCTGCTGTATCGGCTTCATAATCTGCATCCTCAGGGAAGTGATCGATTTGCTTACACAGACCTTTAAAATTCCCTATGGAACAAGAGAAAAAAAGAACAAATGAGAACACCAAAACCTGCCTTGCAGGAACAGCTGCCCTCTGCATCACCTTTTGTGCCCACCTGCCTTCCTCCAAGGCAGCATGCCCACTGTGTGTGCATGCCCGGGAAATGCCCGGGGCCTCTCCTTGCACACTCGCACGTGTATTTGCACAGGAATGTGGGGTTTGCTGTCAGCATCCAGCCTGACGCCCACCTAGCCCAGCACGCCTCACTCCGCAGAGGAGAGCACCAGAAGCTGTGTGACTCCTGCTGCAGACAGGCGGGAGAGCACTGCCTGCCTCGCAGGGAGGCGGGATGGGAACCGGAGCCAGGTACTGGGCAAAGTACAGGTGTCAGGGTCCCCTCCCTCAGCATCACAGGCATAACTGTGAGGTACATCATCAGACCTCAGTGTGTCCCCTGGCATGGCCTCACTGGATCCCAGCAGTGAGGGGATCAGGGCAAGATGATTAGGTGTGGGTTGCAGAAGTATTTGTTTCTCTCGGCTGTGAATTTGCTGCCCTCTCATTCAGTGGGTAGGATATATCCCTTTGTTCTGGTTTGGTGTGAAAACAAAAGCCCTTAATCTACTTTCTCCGTATGACTGCTCGTTTTTGCATACCTTTGTCAGGCTTGCTCTTGTGTCCTCTCACAGACTGAGGCTACAAGAAGCTCGGTGTGACTGTGTGTATGCACTCAACAGAAAAACACCCTGGTGCTGGGGGAGCAAAATCTTCCACCATAAGTGAGGGAAGCTGGGCTGGACACAGTTCCATCAGGCTGGTGTATGTACAGGGGCTTCTGCCTGTTTCAGTCATGGGGCACCCTGTTTCACACACTCCATGACCAACAAGACCATCTCAGCAGGGGCCCAGTGACATCTTCCAAGTCTTTTGTTAGCTGGGATGTCTACCAGGCTCTTACTTTCATCACTCTTATCTCCTCTTGACATAAGGAACCGAGAGGTACTCCTCAAGCCACATAATATTTTTCACCATGACCACTGATTAATTAGTATCTCAAATGATCAGGTTGTCCATTCTTGTACAGGGTTGACCATGTGAATGACAATTTCATTATACCTCCTGGGCTTCCCACAAATTTTTTCTCCTACCCTCCATTCCATTTCCCTCTGGACACTTGCACTGACTGGCCATTAACACAGAACTGATGGACATAGAAAGGAGAAATACACTGTCTGCATGAGGTGCATGGGTAGGCATGGTGATCCCGTGGGCTTCCTCATCAGATGTCAACCAACAAAGTGGCCCAGGCTCATTGATGCCTCAGCAGAAGCATTTGGAGCCTGAGTTTGAAAAGTGACAAATGCTGTGGCAATCTGGGTAAGCCTCCTGCCACCCTGACCCCAAACCCGGCTTCTGGACCAAGCTGGGTGTGAAGGGCAGGGGGAAAATGAAGCCACCACACTTGAGGTTGTTGCCTCTGGGAAGAGCAACAGAACTCTTCCAAACCAAACCTACCCAGGCTTACACATGCAGTCACCATGTCAGGTCTTGGTAGGTCTATTCCGGATAAATTTGAATGATCTTTCAGATATTTGTGAACAGATGGAAGAAGGACCAAGCTCAAAGTATTCACCTTGAGTTGCTTCTTGAGGCCAGCTCTTAATGGATTAACATTTGGGACACAGTCCTGAGTAAATAGCTGAGTAAATGGAAGGCAGGTAGGTGGGTTCCTTTAGGGCTACCCCCAAGTCTGGCTTCTTCTGCATCTATCTAGCTTGTGTCTGATGCCTCCAAGGTATCTATTGCATTTAGCTACTCATTCGAAGAGCTTGCATGAAGAGACTAGAGACAGCAGAGAGAAGTGTGTGCATGCATTAAGAGGTAAGTAATAGGAGAAGAAATTAGGAACAAAGCCTCTCTGTGTAGCTCTGACATACTATTCCCACACTGAAACTGTGGGCTATGAAAGGTTGTTAATCACCCATCCCCAATCCAGTTACCTTGTTCAAAAAGTGTCTACTTCTCAGCTATGGCTCTTCTGGAAGGGAAGCTTCATAGCCAAGTAAATTGCCTTGGCACACTTCCACCCTGCTACTTGCCCACTAAAATCCTATGAGGCAGGCAGATACAGCATGAAGGGGGTCTTTTCCCTTGCTTGCCCCTAACTGCCTGGGGCCATCTGCCTGTGACAGATGAGCAGCTCCTCGTCCTGGTCCTTTGGCTGCTGTCACTGCTGTACAGTGCATGTGAACACTGGCACACTCCAGGGCACTGGGGAGGTCTCCAGCTTCAGATTTCAGTTCCTTGCCCAGCAGATCCTGAACACTGAGTTCCTCCTGCCTGTACATGCTGGGGGAGCAGGCAGAACCTGCATACACCTCCCAGGTGATGTTCCTGGCACACAGCCAGAGCCTCCCAGTTGGAATCAGCCAGGGAGGGAAGACACAGTGCATCTGGAAACCCCCTCACTGTATGACATCCTTTCCCTGCTTCCTTTTTTCTCCCTCTCCCCCGCTCTGTTTCTTGCTGAATTTGAGGCTGATTAATTCCTATGTAAAGAATTGAGCTGCCTGGGGAAGATGCTGCATCTGGTGCAGGCTGTCTTTTATATGGACTTGCGTGGGATAGCTGGTTAGAGGTTCAGCTGCTTAGGCAGGCTGAGGGGATATGCAGGCTCTTTGGAAATCTGCTCCTGGTGCTCAGTGTCCCAAAGGCTTTGCTGACCTGGCTCAGCAGGGTACTTGGCCATTGGAGTGTCCAGGCCTGGCTTGCTTAAAATGCTGTGACATTGTGGAGCTGCCTTCCTCCACAGGCTCACACGCTGTGCCAGGTTGATTCCCCCCCTGGATCAACCCTACCAGGGTTCACGAGGGCAGTGTTGGTCCGACTTTAACCCCTGCTTTGTCTGTGCACAACACAGAGTGCTGTGGGTTTGGATGCTGACTGTTTGCCTGTGATACCACACCCTCTCCTCCAATGCCTCCTAGCTCCTCTGGGCGATGGATGGGGAAAGGATGCAGAATTTAGGTCATTAATGCGCTAACTGGGAACATAAGAGAACAAGATTCAGTTTTTGCTCTGCCACAGGCGTGCTGTTAAAACCACTTCTCTCTGCCTCAGCGTCCCACCCTGTAAAATGGGGGTGACAGCACTCCTCTGCCTGGTGCCGTACGGGGACGTGTTAAGCAGGGCACGGTGTGGGTGTGCTGGTGCCAGCAGCTCCCAAAGTGCACGGAGTAAGTGAGTGATGGATGGCAGTGGTTCAGAAACCTGCTTGGTGTGGGGAAGGCCCTGATGTCACTTCTTGTGCCAAGGTCACTCGGCAATTCTCTGATGGACATCTGTGGCCTGCTGAGATGGTACAGCAGCTTCCCTGGCACCTGTGCTGGTGGAAGCACAGAGGGGGGATGGAGCAGCTCAGCAGTGCTGCTGAGGTCTGACACAACAGCCTTTTCTTGTGCTGCACGTGTGGTCTGCGGAGCCAGGGATGGTGTATGCTGTGTGCCACCCTACAGATAATACTCCTGAACGCCTGAGCAAGACCAAATAATTATGTGGGAGGGCATGTAGGGCTCTGAGAATTCCCCCAAGGAAGTAAGAACAACATAATCTCTCTACTTGAGTCCCTTTGCCCTTCACATTCTTCCCAACTCCAGTCATTTCATGCTGTGATCTTTGAAATGGGGCATGTATCTCTGTCTTCTCCCATACGCATCTCAGAGAAACTTAAGCCACATGCTTCCACCTCTTCCCTGTAGCTCTTCAAGTGCAGTTTGGGCTCTCCCCTCATCCATGCTCATGTTCACTCATCAGATCTTTCTCCTGTTTCTCAGTCCTTCTCATTCATGACAGCATACACCTTCCTCTCTCTGGTGTATTAGTGTGGGCATCGTCTGAACAGCCTGCTTTGGGGTGTGCAGGCTGCAAAGAAGGCGGGGATGAGCATCAGCCTGTCTCAGGAAAGGAAGGCTGCAGATGCCCAGGTCCGTGGAAAAGCACAGAGCAGCCTTCACATCCCTTGTGTGTTAGTGGGATTCGTTAAGCATGATCACCACCATTTGCTTGTTGCCTGCCCCAGCTTTGGAAAATGCAGTTTAGAAGAGCCAGGATTGGTGCAGTAGGCACCCCTCCAGTGCCTGGCCAAGGACAGAAGTTGCCCAGTTGGGCCATTAGGAGCAGAGACCATCTCTCATACCGCCAAGAGGGACTAAATGTCTAAATGTCTAAGATTAAATTCAACATCAACTGTGCGTTCATCTCTGAGAGAGACCTCCTCCAGTGTGGCAGGATCACTGTTTATCATTGTCTATCCAGGACAGCTGGCAGCCACCAGCCCTGCTGCAGCAATACTCAGACTGAGCTACCCCCGATGAGAACCCAGCTCGGTATTGTTGGTGATACAGTTTATTTTTGTGCCGCTTTGTGCAGCCCTCTCTCTTTCAGAAGTCTTGCTTGCCTGCAGAGTGCAATCCATTGCAAAATAGTAAGTTCCAAAGAATGAAAAGCTACTCCCTTCCTGCGAGGTAGGAACACTTTTAAATGGTCATGACCATACATCTGAAAACTGCGAGCCAGAGGCAGAGGAAAAGACATCCAAAAGGAGAGAAGCAGACAAAGAGGGATGAGAACAGAAAGACCTGTTTTCCCAGGATGATTTGTGATATTTCCATTTATGGAGAAAAGCAATCCACTGAAAGCTTTCCTTCAGTCTCAGTCTCTAATTTAGCAGAGGTTTTGGCATGATGGCTTCTAGAGAAATAAATAAAGGGGGCTGGATATAGCTGTTGTCTCTAAAAGCTGAGAAAGATGGTTTGGTGTTGGCCAAGGATTCAGTATTACTTTCTGTCACATGCTCCCCATATCATTTTAGGCAAGCCACTTACCCACCACACACCTCTGCTTTCACTCAAAATGGAAATACTGTGTTTCCCTGCCTCAGGAGAGTAGGCTGAGGATATTTGTATTAAAAATATGAAAGTGATCAGACACTGAATCATTTGGGCCAGATAATTGTCCCACCATCTAG